GGCCTAGTCGCAACTCACAAAGCATGTGTCCCATTTCATTATGGCCACAACCAAAATTCCACCAGAGTCGCATATCTTGACTAGGTGTCCCAAAAAAGAACCTCTAGTAATTTTTTAGTCAATAAATAAATAAAATAATAAGACATATAAATGATCTTTATTAAAAAATTTAAATACTTATAAAATAATTATTAAATTTTATTATATTGTTATAAATTATTCATTAAATTTAATAAATTATTATAAAATAATTTTTAAATTTCTCAAAAAATTTAGTATTCCATTATATATAATATGTATTTCATAATATTTTGATAAATTTAATAATTACTATAAATTTTAATTTTAATGATAAAATATTATTTTTATATAACTTAATGATAATTTATTTATTTTACTCTTATTAAAAAGTTTTTTTTGGTACACAAAAGTTTATGTTAGAGGTGGTTCCCCCAATCCAGGATAGGGCATACTTAAGACCCAATTATGATTTACATAAGACTCAATTATGATTTACATAAGATTCAATTATGATTTACATAAGACTTTACAGATTGCCTACCAAGAGTGACGGTGGTGGGATTCGAACTTAGTCTTACAAACTCAAATTCCTAAATCCCAATCACTTATGCCAACATTCATTAGTATTAAAAAACTTCTTTTAAAAATAGATTTTTTGAACTAAATTAAAAGAATAAAAAAATCAAGATTTCACCTAATAAATAAAAGTCACGCGTTCAGCCCACCGTCAGGCCTGTGATTAGCCCCTTAACAAGGATCATTGTTGTTTAATTAATTTAATAGTGGGTAAAGTACACAAATGATCCCCGACTATATGATAATATTTTATTACATCTCTTGACTATTGAAAATTACAAAATGATAGTCCAACTATAGAGTGTTTCTTTGTTGAGTCCCTCTACTATCAAAAGTTATAAAATGATCAACAGTGGCGGAGCCACACCTTGGTCAGGGTGGGCACATGCCCACCATGAAATCCGAATTTTTTTCAATTAGTTACATATTTTACTAATGGTGTCCACCTTGAAATTTTTCGTGCCCGTCCTGAAATCTGAGTTTTCTTAGATTAGTTACTTATTTTATGAACGGTGCCCACCCTGAAATTTTAATTGTACCCGTCCTATTTAAAAAATTTATGTTGTTATCATATGTGTGCTTATGCTGAAAAATATTTCTAGATCATCTACTGATGGTCACTTAACTATTCATTATGTTTCAAACTCGTCATTTTTCATTAAAAATGACAGTATTCTAAGTTGAATGTTTACCTATTAATTGTGATATAATAAAATTTGATCCTAGAATCTAAAAAAAAATTATCACAATCATCATGTTAATGTCCAACTTAGACAACTACTAATTTTTAATAGAAAATGACGAGTTTAGAATATAATGAATAATTGGGTTACTTTAATAGTCGAGGGACTTGACAAAACAACATTCTATAGTTGGAGAACTATTTTTTAATTTTTAATAATTGAGTGACTTAATAAAGTAGTAACTTATAGTTAGAGGACTATTTTTGTAATTTACCCTTTAATAATTTATTTAATTATTTATATATGTTGGTAAATTTCTCCTCCTCTTACATTTATGCTCAAGCCAAGCCAGCGCACCCAACCAGTGTATTTCATTTGCCTTTCTTCCTTCTCACAAAATAATCTTTCACCATTGGTTTTTTTCTTCTAATTTTTAAAATATAATTCTAATAATTTTCTCGCAGATTTTCATCCGTATCGAGGTACGATTTCCTTTACCTCTGTTCTTTTTTTCTTTGTTTTTTTATTTTGGTTGATAATTTTTGTTAGTTATTTCTTTTTGAACCCACTTTGATCATGAAAAATATTGTTTATCTGAGTTATTTTGGTTATTTTAACGTTTGATCTTGATTGTGCTTGATAATCTGTAATGGTTTCAGGTTTTGCTGTTGTTTATCATGCTTAGATTCTCTATTAAAAATCTGTATTTGTTAGAGATACATTTTTTTAAAAATTCAGTTTAATTGTTTTCTTATTTGCGATCATGAACACGATGATCATAAGCATAAGATATTTCGTTGTTGATCATCGCATTGACTTACCTTAAAATATGACCAGCGATTTTTTTTATCTTGATGTGGTCGTTGTAGCTGAAACCAATAGGGTTTGTCGATGTTAGATATTTGAACTCTGTTTAATCCAATGTTATGTTTCCATATAATTGATTGTTTTCTTCTAGAGATTGTTCTGTGAATCGAGATTGAAAGGCTTTAAAAACTGATTCGAGCTCATATATTCTTGTTTTTCAACGGGAATGCTGTGACATATGTATTAGTTATTCGGTTATATATATTTTTTTGACTTACGGCATTGGGTTCAATCCAAAAGGTTAGGGAATAAAATGGGCATTGTGGTATATTATTTCTCGAGTCTTATTGCTATCGTCAGTGTTTGTTTGAAGACTTAATTTCTGAAGGAAATTGAAAATAATTATCATAATGTGCTCCCTTGGGGTTCTGTAATTTGACTTTCATTTTCTATTGGAGGTTCAGATGCCAATTCATGGTTGAATTACTTGTAGTTTCTAGCATGTCCAGTAACTGCTTCTCAGACAAGGTGCTTTAATAGCTACGATATTTCTTGATTTAATTAGCAACAACTAGGTTTAGATCATTTTCTTTATGCAGGTTATGGACTTGGTGTTTCATTCTTTCCCCACATCCTGAGTTTGACCTTGAGCATTAACACTAACTAGTATGCCAGTTTTTTAAAAGTAGCCCCTCTATATCTGAAGGTACGAGGTTTCCTATTATCCCCTTTCTCAAAGAATTTTTTGGAAGTAGTTAATTAGAAGTTATTCATTGATACTTGTTGTAGCTGTCTGCTTCTGGGTGAAATGTGTCTATATCTGTCAGCAATTATTATTTCCTCTTTCTATTATCTTCTTCCTCATTATGTCTTGCAGAATGCAGCACCTTCATCTTCAGTTATATTTCCCATCTTAGTTCTCCAGGCTTTTATCAACGTGTTGACATAGCTGCAAAAAGTTTTGGCATATATTTAAGCATTCCTTTAAATGAGTCATAAATAGTTTACTAGAGTTGGTAAATCGTTTAGTTGTGCCATGTCCGCTTTCTATTTTCTTAATTTCAAATGCTGTTGCAGGGAAGCTTTGTTGATCGGAAACTGAAGGAAATATTTCAATATCTTATTAAAATCATGAGCACTCACTGTAGAGTTATAAGTTGGCCATCTAGTGCTTGGTGTAGAGTGTCAAAGGAGGTTTAGGGAGGGGGTTGAGGTTTTGGAATTGTGAATAGTATCTTCTTTTATATCGTGGTTTGTAGTTCTAAGAAGATGTAATGACCTAAGAATACCTAAGAACCCCAGGGGCATCTACGTAAAAATTCCTAAGAACCCCAGGGCCATATCTGTAAGAATCCTTAAGAAACCCAGGGCATCTTCATGGCTGTTACAGTTTTGGCAGTCACCCAGCCTACGGTTTTTGCCGAAAGATTGATTTGAAGTGTAGGGCATGATGATGGATTTGCTGAAAACATTGAGCTTAGTGTCCCCTTCTGGGAAACCATGGAAATGTGGTTTTTTGTGGAGGCTTGTTTGGTGGTATTAATTGATGTCATATGGCCTCTTATGGTGTAAAATTGGATGCTTGGGTGATGACCATAGTCATGTAGTTGGGATTGAGTTTTCTTGCATATGGTCGATATAGTAGAACTATGTGCTTGAAAATATCTACGCACTGAAATCATGCTTTAGATTCCTATGAGGAGGTATGACTATGCAAACAGTACTTGGATTTTGGTGATCATATAATAGCCTTATAGCCTCAGGTTTTCAAATTTTATTGAGGTGGAGGGTCAATATGTACTTGGATGTAACAATTTAATTAAGCCAACACTTGACCATGGTTGCTGTCAAGATGCATGGCAGTGAACTGTTGACAAGGAGCTGAATGATTATTAAGATCTGGTTGAACCAACCGTGTGGCCGATATGGTTTTCCTGTAACTCGATATCAAAGAAATAAATGGAGTTGGGTTAATGGGACTTTTCCTGGTTGTTTGTTAGGCTTTCATCTTATTGTTACCATCTCTTCGCGAGGAGTGTTTTCTTTACATGTTTCGTAAGCTTCCATAATTTGAGGTTAAAATCATCTTGATTTGTGTTCCTAAAGCTTCATGGTGAATCATTCAACAATTGTAGAACATGTCCTTAAACTGATTGCAATTCTTTTGTACGTCGCTGAACTTAAGGCAATTGAGGCTTGCATTTTAATTGAAGTACATAATATATATTTTCTATCAGTACTCGCCTAATCCTCTGACCTTGGGAGTTTTCAGAAATACATTGAGGCAGAATAATGTTCCTAAGAGATATAATCCTGTGTCAACGTCTGTACCTCAAATTTTTTACATGGTAAATAAAAGGTATTGTAGGAATCAATCTAGACCTTAATATTGAAGCCAGCTATGCTTTTGGTAGATGGGATCTTACATCAGGAATGGTAGCTGTCTGATCTACAATTATTTTGTAGATGTACCTGATTTCTTACTATTTCATCTTTTGTAATTTTCCTTTTTTTTTCTTTTGGTGCTTTTTTATATAAAAAACAGAATATTTGGTCTTAGATGATACATTTAATTTCTTTTGATAAAGCTATTCTTTAAATGATTTTTTTGGGAGTAAAATTTGGTAATTGCAGCAGGCTATATTTGCTTGCTTAAGAAACAATTTATATGCCCACGTGAATTTTGATTGTAATTCCTTACGTTGGTGAATATTCCTTCTCTTCTATTTCACCTCAAATCTTTGAGGATGCTTGCTTTTGCTACTTATTACTGCTCCTTGTTTTAAACTTTTGCCTTAAAAATTTATTGCATATTTTAAGTTAAAATATTCATTTGTTTGGACAGGGTTCAACCGCTATGCTTTTGTTTTCTTCTATCTTCATCGTAGATAGGTTTTATTCCTCCCTCAATATCAAGGAGTTTATTTCCTATATTGATTTTTTCTCTTTTGCCTAACTAAAAAACAATGATTTTTTCTTCTTAAAATTGTTTCTACTAATTTCATAATTGGAGTGAAAGGCATTATTCTTCTGCTGTTCCTTTGGCTATGAACTGTCCAGCCATATTTGGTTAAGTGATGACCATTTTCATTCCTTCCATCTGCTATTAGCTATATAAATCAGTTCCAGGTGATGTCCTGATGAGTTATCCTGCTTCTACTAGTGCTTCACCTTCAAGTCTGAACCTAAGGTACTTTTGTTTTGGGCTTAAAGGGTTAGTATTGGCATCCAATTTAAAGCCTGCATTTAATTGCTACTCCAGTGTTCCTTATTTTTCCTTTACCTTTTCCCTCTTTGTTTCTTGCCCCAGAATATGGAGGATGCTCTCTCTAATTTTATGGAGAGAGGCGATATGTAAGGAGCAGATAAAAGCAAGAGATGGGACTATTGCTAGCATGCCGGTTTTTAAGAAGACCATAGTTGGGCAACTGGGTATTTAGGGTTGTTGATTTCCTATTTGTGAAAGTCTACTGTGAAAATCACTCTAAGCGATGAGGGCTTTTGCACCAGCATCCATTTTTCCTATTCCTAAGAATCAGTCCATACGTGATTCCTTTGACCTATTAATGCACAGTTTTGATTAAGTGGGCCAAAGCAGAAAGCTATTGTAGTTACAATTCTACTTGAGATGCCCTTTTTACATACCAATTTGTGCATGTGCATGTATGTACATGGCTGACTTTGCTGGTGCGTCTACACTGGTATATATAGAGAGCTTAGCTTATGCCTATAGTTCAATTGTTATTGGTGCTTGTAACCTCATGTCTTTCTAAATTTTTTATAGCGTGTTATAATAGTCGTTTCTTTTAGAAGAATAAGCACTTGGTGTTACGAACAAAAAACAAAGGTACCTTAATACTCAATATATTCCTGCTAGTGGCAACGAGAAGATGTGATTCTTGGAGTTGCTCTTGTTTGCATTTTGCTGCAGATACATATATCCTAAGCGTTATTGTGTCTGTTGTGACAGAAGTTTAGATTTCTTCAGAGCTCTGGAAATTCTTTATAAGAAACGGAATCTTGTAAATGCAATATGTTGATTGGATAAATGGCATGCAGATGCTAAGTGTTTGATTTTTTAAAATATTTTTTGGGTTATTAGATATTAATTAATTACTTACTCCATATCTTTTTATCTTTGATTGTTTTTTTTGTAGGTTGACTTTTCTTCTGGAATATAACTTGCAAGGGATTTGGTTATGGGGCATAGACATATATTTGGCACCTCCCAAATGTTTGAGGGTGAAAATGAGCAGGGTTGGAATCATATGCATCCTGACCAACCTTATGCAAATCTTGGTATTGTTAACTTAATGTATTAACTTTTTCCTTTTATTTTCAAGAGGATAAGTTTGATGCTGATGAAAAATTGATAATTATTTACACTATGATGAAACTTGTTTGCTAGGCAGGTTGAGGTTGAACTTATCATATTCTCCTACCTAGAAAGTTGAGCCTAGGTTTTGACTTTTGAGTTATGTTGCCTTTTTGTGTTGTAAAGGATCCTTATTTGTACACTAGCTTTTGTTCTAATGGCTATTACTGCCTTTTTGTTTTGCTTGGCAGTGAGGGCAAGTACTACAGAACATGGTTCCTTCTGTCCTTTGGAAAATATGTCTGTCGATGCAGTGCATGTTTCTCCTCACTGGAATCCTGTCCCTAGGTCCAGTGATTATGCTACCTCAAGCCACAATGTTGAAGCTCCGCAATACCAATCTGATGCTTCAGGCCCATCCCATGATCTTATTTTGCATCCATCAGCCCCTGGAGCATTTGGTGCAGCCCCTGATAACTATATGCGTCATGCTTCTTCTTCCGATTATGATAGACATTCTCTCCATGGAATCGACGGTGGTTTTGTTGATCTCACAATGGGTGGTGGTAGAGGGCCTCTCAAGCGCAAAAGCCCTGGAGTCCCATCAGTCTGTGAAAGGGGCAGTTCAAGCAGATATGTTGGAGCTGGAAGTTCATCTGATCTTCCTTTATCATCTGACTTATGGCAAGAGAAACCTAATGTAGATCCTCAGCACATGCACTTGGATCATGTAGCCATGCCCCCGAGCTATAGAGGCAATAGCCTTTCAATTAGGGGTGAGGGTTCTATGAGGAATGTGAGAAGCCGTCCAGCTCTTGATCTTGAATCCAACCTAGTTAGGAACCATTTATCAAGCAATCCTTCTCACACTTCCTATTCTACAAGCCACCCAATTGACCGCTCTAGCTCAGTGGTTCTCTCTGGTCAAAGCTCTAATGTTTTGTCAAGGGAGTGGGAATGGGGCCATTTGAGAATGTCTCCTATTCATGGAAGGATTCAAGTTTCGGGTAAGTTGGTCAAGCATTTCTCTGTTATGTTTTAAATCCCCCATCATTTTTGTCTGTTACTGGTGAATTGCAGATCCAGGTGTTTTTAATCATGAGACAAACCACTTTCTCGGTGGTAGCAGTGCTACGAATTCTTCTATAGAGGTTGAGGGGCTTCAGCATGATTTCATTCCAGGTAGAAATCCTGTTCTTCCTCAGAGTTTCCATGGCAGCTCAACACAATCTGTTAGGGGTATTCGCACAAACTATTCTCATAGATCTACCCCAGCTTTTAGGGCTTCTTCCAGCAGTGTACAATTAGGACACGCGGGACCCCCAGAAGAGGAGATTCAGATCGTTGCTGGAAGTTATTCCTCCAGACATCCTCGGCCATTATCGGCTATAACATGGCGTAACAATGACCGGATTGGAAGGTCAAGGGTATTTAATGACAGATATCGACCTCCAGCTGATGATGCGGCTTTCCATGAACGATTTTCATCTGAGGTATTTAGTGCTTGTGAAGTAAATATGTTCTTGCATTTTAAATTTGCACGGGCTTAATGTCCTGTATTGATAGTTTGAAAGTTCATTCTAAACAGTTCCAGCATATTTTCTGCAAGTAATGGACTGTTTCATGGTACTTTTATTGCGTCATAAGTATCCTTCTTTGTTGATTGATAGCGGCCTGTTCCTGTTCTGTTGACCAGACCAGCCCGACTTCTAATCTATCCAAAATTTCAGATCAAGTGTTTCCCATTAGAGACGGAAAAAATTCCACTTGATCATCAGCTTGCCAAGTAACTTTCCGAGTTAACGAGTCATTTACCGAATGTTGTAATTTGTTATCATTCTGCAGGGTTTTATGATTGTGGACCGCTCAGTCTTTTCCGGATTTAGAAATATGTTCGATCAGCATAGAGATATGAGGCTAGACATAGACAACATGTCTTACGAGGTATGCATATATTTCCCTTCCCTATTCAGGTGTTATTTCATTCTTTCTTGATTTTTGCTCTAAATGACCCTGGATGATACGCTTGATTAGGAACTACTCGCATTAGGGGAAAGGATTGGGAGTGTTAACACAGGTTTGTCCGAAGACTCGATATCCAAGTGCTTGACGGAAACAATTTACTGCTCTTCGGATCAAATCCAGGATGAGATCTCTTGTGCGATCTGCCTGGTAAGAACTTTTATCATGTTTGAAACATAAATATCTCGGATCATGTGGAACCGGCCACCACTCGTCAACGTACAGTCTACTTTGATTTTTATAAACTCGAACGGGAAGTTCGAATATCTGACAAAGCTTTGTAATTCACAGGAAGAATACAAGGACGTGGATGACGTCGGGGCGTTAAAGACGTGTGGACATGATTACCATGTTCCCTGTATCAAGAAGTGGTTGTCAATGAAGAATAATTGTCCGATCTGCAAAGGTGCGGCTGTGGCCGAGGATAAGGAGAAATAATAACTTATATTGTGGTTTACCATTTGCCATTATTGTACATATATATATATATCTATCTATATATATTTAGACAATTGGCCCAACAAAATCAGACATTGGTTTAACAAATTTGTTGAAAACAAAGGGAATTTTGGATTACTTTTCAACCCAAAATTGTTGTTGGCTGCCATCTCAATCATGTGGATCCTTTCAACCCTTTTTTATTATGGTTTTTTCTTGGTCAATCGGATTCTTAGTTGGGAATAATATTTTGTATGATATTTGGAGCCTTCAAGTTCTATTTACTTATCCGTATTAGAGACGGATTTGAGCCCGAGTTTCCATGAAATTCAAGCCTAGAATAGATTTGGTTGCTCAGTAGCCTGGCAATAGTTGTCTGCATGGTGTGTATTGTCTGGTTAAAAAAGGTATATTTTCTTCCCAATCACCTAAAGAAAGTTCCCGGCCGGACCTTTATGAAGACATTAACCGGCAAAACGATAACTTTGGAGGTGGAAAGCTCAGGTACAATAGCAATGTAAAGGCGAAGATTCGGGATAAGAGTGTATTCCACCGGACCTTTGTAAAGACATTGATCAACAATGTGAAGGCGAAGATTCGTGATAAGAGAGCATTCCACCGGACCTTGTAAAGACATTGACCGGCAAAATGATAACTTCGGAGGTGGAAAGCTCTGACATGGATCAACATTGTGAAGGCGAAGATTCGGGATAAGGAAGGAATCCCCTGTGATCAGCAAGGGTTTATCTTTACCGGTAAGCAAGTGGAAGATGGGAGGATTTTATCATTGAAAGGGTCTACCCTTCATATTGTTCTTCGTCCAGTAATTGTCCTTAACAAATATATTGTTTGTTTTGTCCTTTCGTAATAATCCATTAATAAAATAATAATAATGTTTTTCTGGTCTCGTCTTTAACGATAAATGTTAATCTAAGTACTTATTAGTTCTATTTGGAATAAAAATTTGGAGATCTGTTGTTTTACATATGGTTCTTCATTGCTTTTTGATGAACTTACCCTATTGATATCCTGATGAATAAGGAAAGGGAAATTGAAAAAGGGTAAACTACGCATTTAACATTCGAGAACTGAACTCGGGACCTATAGCAACCTAAGCGAGAATCATACCAGTCCCTTGGTTGCGCCAAACTTGTGATAATTTTATTATATAATCTAAAATGTTGGACCAAAACCTTCTTTTGTTTGTAATAAATAATGAGTTTGGCTTTTATTTTGGTTGGATGCCTTCTTATTCTGTCAAAAAATCTAGATGAATCTTAGCCTCAAATATTCATGATAAATTATATTTTAGATATCAAAAGTTTCAAGTTTAAATTTTGGGAAATTTGACATACTATATAGTAACACAAAATAAAAGGGGAATCTTAATAAAAAAACAATAATACTGTTTAGCATAAATAACTAAATGAAATACCCTTATATGAACACAATAAAACTTCTTTTTGAATTCTATTACAATTATAAAATAGTATATATTTATAATATTCTTTTAACTATCAACAACGTATATATATTCTACACACGCAGTTACTCGAACTCAAGACGTCATACTAGCAATTTCAGTGGTAAAAGAAAATGTTGTTATTCTTAAAAGTTTTGAGTTCGAACAACTACATTTGTAGGATGTGTGTTAACTTGTAATCATCTCAAATTAATTACGAAATATTTTTCTGGGTTGCTTAAATATTTCAATATTATGATTCTTGTGAGTAAAGAATGATCAATGGGATGAGCATGAAATTTTCTATCCAAAGGAAAAATAAGAATGGTGCAGAAGAAAGAGGAGATATTATTTTAATGTAAATTGGGGAAATATTTTTTTTTGTTATAAATTTTAATTAAATTTAGGTTCTTTAAAACTATTATATTACATTTTCTATTGCAAGCAAACTTATCAATCTATTCTTTCTGTTTTAACACTATCTTTATATGGTTTGGATTTTTTTTTCTGTTCATCCATGCCTCTCTTGAATTCTGACTGAAGAACCTAAAAGGAAAGATTAAATATGAGAGTTTGAGTGGATTTCTCATCCATCCGTCCATAAGTTTCTGGGTTTCATTAGCCTTGTGATCACAGCTTAAAAAAGAATGATAGATTTACATCTCCTGTAGAAATGTTTGTATGCATGTAATTTTGTTTGTTAAAAATGGGTCGTTGTCGATTTTCTTCATGTTTTGTTCCCAGATAGTTGCTTCTTGTTTAACTTTCAACATCTTAATTAGAAGTTAATCCCATATTTGGTAGACAGGAAAGTGAGATACTGATTTTCTGTTCATAACGTGCAGTTTATTTATCTCATATCTGATTGCATGTACTCTAGTTTCCTTTTTGTTTTCTATTTACTCTTCATTTGTTTAAGCAGCTTCAAATAAATCTGTTAATACTGATGCGTATTCGAATGAGGAATAATACGTAAATATACGAAAAAGAGAAACATTTACTGCATTATATATTCATACAAAATGCATAAAATCCATATATCAATCAGTTTGTTATTCGGCTTGATCACTAGCAATCATCCTTTAATGGTAGTACCTAAGAGTTCAGACAGTGTAGATAACTTTTTAGCATTATTCCACTACCACACTGATGAAAACATGGACGAGACACCGATAAGCTATTCAAATTCTTTCACTATATAACGCGTATGCACTCAGGCACCACGGCCCATGGTCTGTTCACCGGGAGGGATCATGACCAGCACAGGCTGAGCATTGTGCCCCGGGTGAGGCAACCTTCGACGAAGTTCGCGGCCTTCCTGGCAAAGAGCATATGCATGGCAGAAAACATGCGTTGCAAAGTCACAGGTCGACTCACAGAGTTCACGTTGCACCTCGTCTTCCACACAGCTTCCACAGCATCCACATGACCTGTTAAGTGCCTCACAGGTACCCTGTTTTTTGCAAAGAAAACAGCAACGAATAAATCTTTGAAAGCCCTCACCTAGTTGATTCTATGCATAATAAAAACACAAATCTAGAGGATCAACAAACTCCAATAGATCAAAGGATATTAGAAACATCAAAAAACCAAATTAAACATGGAACTTGTGTTGTTACGATCGGAAAGGAACATTGAACGAACAAAAATCTAAAACCAAATTGGACTCCTCTATGCTTTAATGAGCTGGTTAAAATTATATTAATAACCTGAAAAAATAAAGAAGAAATGTGAAATGAAAGATTAGATTTACTTGCCTCAAGATTAAACTTGCGACGAATTGCAGTTCGGGTAGGGTATGAAAACCATGGAGCAAGACAATTCCAGCCACAAAAGGAATTCCCAATCAAGTAAAGACCAGAGTAAGGTAAGCAGTGATTTGCAAATGTCCCCGGTGCAGATCCAAGTCGTTCAACATTGCTTCCATATAGCACACAAGGGGCCACGCTTCCGAGTAGGCCTGGCCGAAATATCATGATTCGAATCAAATGCAAAAATAAGCGCTACATAACTGAAAAACTAGATGCGCAAACAAATGTGTAGAACATTTTAATTGTACTTGTTTGATTGAGAAACAAATGAACATTGAAAATATGAACACTGTTAGCTGAAAGAAGCAAATTCAAGCTTCATATGTATCTGTGTCCATCATAAGTATGCTCATTTTTTAGTACATTTGAAAAACCATTGGAGTCGTGTGGTCATATCTCTATATCCATATAATCCTTATAATAATATAAGTTGGGCACGAAATCGGAATAACAAAGATGGTATAAAATAAAATGCTAACCAGAATGTCATTGATCACAGAATTCGAACAAAATTACAATTATCTACCCATCCTTTTAATCATTGCAATTCATGAAATCATAAGTTGTCTTTTAATTCCAAACCTAGCTATTATAATTTGGGAAAAATCCCAAATTTCTCGGTCGATTAAAAATCCCAACACAACAAATTCGTAAAATATCAGATCGATCTAGAGAAAACTCAAATAAAAAACTTACAAACTTCAATGTCACTGCTGCAAAACCCATCGTTACGGCCGAGACAAGCAAGGAGGGGGGAATCCCACTGGGATCGGCCCATTGGTTCTCCGACAACACTCCCGTGAACCAAAGGCAGCCCTTCGGCGGTCCACCCAAACCCAGCCCCGGTACCAACTTCCGGCGAAGCTGCCACATCGGCGGCCGCTTCCTTTGATTTGTTAACATTTAGTTTCTTCTTCTCATCTTCTCCAACACCGCCTTGCTTGCTCAGAAGAGGGCTCGATTCCTGTAGATCGCTGTTGATGCTGCCATCATTGTTAATTGCCATTTCCCCCTTTCTCGATTCGATGATGGAAGAGAGAGATCTAAACTCAGACTTAAATATTCGATCTTCAGAAAGCGCGTGAACTTTATTACCGAAATATCACTCGTACCACTAATAATTATTTGCCCGACACCCTTACCTTTAATATTATTGATCTAGTACCCTCTCTAACACGATGGTAATAAAGCACGGATCGTCATCCGTGCCTTCGAGGGATTTTGTCTGAGTTGATGCCACGTAAGGAAAGGCGCGGATCATTATTTACGCCTTCGAGGGTTCGGTCCAAATTGGAGCCACGTAAAGAAAGACACGAATGGCAATTTGCGCCTTCGCAGGGTTTCTGACATATATGGATACCCCAATTATCCGCCTCCCACATTTATAGGAGCTCGTCTCCCCCTCATCTCTTCCTATAAATACCACACCCAAACACAACCTCTAAACCACACTCAAATATCAAATTCTCTCATTTTTCGAGCATTAATTTTCTATTAAGAAGGTAAAATATTTTTATTGTATTATAATTGATCAATAATTTATTATTTTATTCAATTTTATTATACTAATTTTTAATTATTTTTTTCAGTTATAAAATGGAAGGCGGTTTGCTATGTTTAGATGATAATTATATCTCGAGGCATTTTACCGACACGGTAACAATTTTAAATTCGATTGTAATTTTAATTATTGTGAATGTTTTTTATTTAATATTTTAGTATTAGTTTATATTTTAATTTGTATAATATTTATTAAATTAGGAGAGAGATTGTATATTAGATACATTCATTCGTAACCTTAAGTTAGAAATATCTACTCGTGTATGGTCGTATTTAGTCGAGGCTGGATTCAGTTACATAATGAAATATAAAGGCCATTGTAACCTTGAATCTGACCTTATTTCTACTTTGGTTGAAAGGTGGAGAACAAAGACACACACAT